AGAAGATCAAGAGATGTTGTAGAAAAGTGGTTCCTGAACACCAAATTCCCGGAAGCCGGAGGCTGATCGTTCCAGAGAAGTTGTGGGATGGGAAGGGGAATGGGAGACTCAAGTAAACTCTGTGCTGAAGGGGAAAGAGTACGGAGAGTCTGTTCTGGGTGACGTACCAGGATTTCAGGTGTGGGGTTTCTTATTGCTCATAACACTGAGGAGAGAAGGCAAGAATCAGAATTCCCATAGGACTCCACCTTAATCAAGTTCCATTCATTCTAAAGAGTGCTCAGCGCATTGACACACATGATTAAGTCTTCCCTAACCCCCAGTCCATGGGACCTTCTGAAGGGTGACACATTTCTCATGACGATTCTGTTCTGGTCACAGCAGTATAGTCCTTTCTTGAGGCTGCTCAGAGGGCGGGATGGAATGATCTACCCATCCAGCTGCCAGTTTTGACAGAGGTGCTACTGTTTTTCTCTTTGGCGACCTAGTTTGCGATCACAAACAGGCAATGTGGGCACCTACTGGTGTGCTTATTTTCATACCATAAATAATCACTATACAAGCATGTCTGCTTTTATAGCCTCTTGAACCATAAATTACTTTGTGATTTTGTTGGAAATTCCCAGGACTGTCTGAGATTTAAGGCTCAAAATGTGAACTCCATAGCTCCAGCATTCCTGTCCCATTTTCTGTAACACACACAGTGCAAAAATTAAGACCCTGCCACAAACACAAAAGCTGCTTGACCTCCTAAATCCTGAGCAGCCTTAAAGAAGGTAGGTTTTTCAGAAAACAGAATAATGCTTTTGTTTTAAAGTAGTCAAATTAGCCTCTCTTTGCTGTTTAGGATGAAAATTTATTGATACTGATATTGAGAACCAATGGGCTAATAAACATTGAACTATAAACACAAGTCTCCAAAATATAAAGTAAATGAACAAGTAAACATCTACAAATAGTAGCATGATAGTGTAGCTCTGTGTTACACTGACATTAAACACTTACTGAGATATTCTCTTTATTAAGCAACTTGCTGTTTTGAATTTGACAATAAACAATGTGTGGATTGCCCAAGGTTTTTAGGAAAATATGTTGAAGTGTGTACTTCTGATATGATGGGCACTAGAAAAAGAGAAGGGGTGGAGGCAAGGACTTCATGAAAGAACTCTATGAAAAGAGTCACCTTGTCCCCACCCACACCTGTGGACTTCTAAGAACAGGGCTAGAGGGAGCCAAGACCAAAACTTCTATCTACACAAGGACAAAAGCATCAACAAGGAAATGGTCAAATCCAGTTGAGATCATCAAATTATTTATTTTTTTTGAATGCTTGTTGTGTGCCTAGCTCTGTGTGGAGTGTTGGGGTCACATTCCTGACATTTAGAAGGGGACAGTACCATGTACATGAGGCAAATGAGTCATGGGATAGTGAGTTGAATGTCATGTTGTTGTTCAGTCACTAATTTGTGTCGGACTCTTTTTGATCCCATGAACTGCAGCACTCTAGGCCTCTGTGTCCTTCACTATCTCCCTGAGTTTGCTCAAACTTATGTCCATTGAATCGGCGATGCCATCCAACCATTTCATCCTCTGTCACCCCCTTCTCCTCCTGCCCTCAATCTTTCCCAGGATCAGAGTCGTTTCCAATGAGTCAGCTCTTTACATCAGATGGCCAAAGTATTGGAGCTTCAGCATCAGTCCTTACTATGAATATGCAAGTTTGATTTCCTTTAGGATTGATTGGTTTGATCTCCTTGCTTTTGAATATCATAGTAAGGGCCAAAAGGAAATGCTATTTATAGGAATACAGGGATGAAAACTTGATTCTGTTGGGGAATCAGAGACTTCCTGGCCAAAGCAGTATGTGAGATGGACCTACAAATATGGGCTTCTCTTGTGGCTCAGCTGGTAGAGAATCTGCCTGCAGTGTGGGAAACCTGGGTTTGATCCCTGGGTTGGAAAGATCCCCTGGAGAAGGGAAAGGCTACCCACTCCAGTATTCTGGCCTGGAGAATTCCATGGACTTTATATAGTCCATGGGGTTGTAAAAAGTTGGACATGACTGAGCGACTTTCACTTTCACTTCACTTTCTTAGGAATATGAATACAATTTAGATGGGCAACCTGGCAATTGAGACAGAGAGTAGGTGCATAGCTAGGGCATTTGAAGCTGAGGAAATTCAGTGATCAAAGGCTTTGAGGTTGGAGTGCCAGGTGCATGGTGGGGGAGGGAGAAGCAAAGCAATGTGGCTTCCCTTTCTTCTACAGGATTTACTGGGATTTCTAGGAAGAATGTAAATGTCCCTGCACTTGCTTTATTTGTCTGGGAACAGGACAGTTTTGTCCCAGAGAGGATATGTCATTGGTATACTAAGAACAAGTACTTAAGTTCCTAAAGGTGGTTAAGAGAGTGTGAAAGTCACTCACTTGTGTCCGACTCTGCAACCCCATGGACTATACAGTCCATGAAATGCTCCAGGCCAGAATACTGGAGTGAGAACCTTTCCCTTCTCCAGGAGATTTCCCAACCCAGGGATCGAGCCCACGTCTCCCACATTGCAGGTGGATTCTTCACCGACTGAGCCACAAGGGAAGCCCAAGAATACTGGAGTGGGTAGCCTATCCCTTCTCCAGCAGATCTTCCTGACCCAGGAATCGAACCACGGTCTTCTGCATTGCAGGCAGATTCTTTACCAGCTGAGCTACCAGGGAAGCCCTGGTAGATTAAAAGACTTTAAAAGCCTTAAAAAGCCTTTACGGTGGTTAAAGGCTTTTAAAATTGGATTCTATCTGCTCATTCAAATCTCAGTGAAGTTGAGTTCAAGGAGTAAAGTATTACTTAAGTGTGAGTGTGAGTGTGTGTGTGTGTGTGTGTGTGAGAGAGAGAGAGAGAGAGAATCTGTGTGCTCTAGCTCCCTTTTCCATCCCATAGCCCGCCCAGTGTTCCATCTGAAAAGAGCTTCACTTGTAATGAAGACCATGCCCTGTGGTTGGCCACAGATGACTATTCTTGACTTCTTGGGGGTCCAGAGAAGACAGTTTTCAGTTGCAGTTCACCCTCCCAGTCCATCCAGTCATTCATTTCAAAATCTTTAATCAGCAGAGCGGTCCTTGGAAAAATGACCAGAAGATACATGTTGAACTCAGCAAATAATTCCATTTCCAAATGTTGCAGAGGTCAAGAACAGGTAGGTGGGGCAGGAGAGGTGGCTGGATGCCTGTTTCTTTCTTAAGCTGTGTGCTGGGCCATGTGGAAAAGCTTCCCTGCTGGCTCAGACGGTAAAGCATCTGCCTGCAATGCAGGAGACCCAGGTTTGATCCCTGGGTCGGGAAGATCCCCTGGAGAAGGAAATGGCAACCCACTCCAGTACTCTTGCCTGGACAATCCCCTGGACAGAGGAGCCTGGTAAGCTACAGTCCGTGGGGTCTCAAAGAGTCGGGCACGACTGAGTGACTTCACTTTCCTTTCCTGTGTCACGTGGGGCCCTGAGAGCACTGGCTCATTCTCATCCTAGGCCCAGGGCAGGGGTCTTGTGTGGGATTGGGAGCAGGTGTCCTCCCTGGGCACTCTTCTAAGTCAGTCATGACCTTGCTGCTCTTGGATGGATAACGTGAAGGGGAGAAGGAGGAAGGAAGACAGGGGAAGATGGAATCTTTTTGCTGGTGAATGTAATAATTTCATTTGTGAGTGTATATTCCAATAGTGGGCGTTCCTGGTGGCTCAGATAGTAAAGAGTCTGCCTGCAGTGCTTGAGACCAGGGTTCGATCCTTGGGTCGGGAAGATTCCCCTGGGGAAGGAAATGGCAACCAACTCCAGTATTCTTGCCTGGAAAATCCCATGGGTGGAGGAGTCTGGCAAGCTATAGTCCATGGGGTCGGAAAGAATATGACAGGACTGAGCGACTTCACTTTCACTTTTCTTTTCACTTTCATTCCAATAGGTGGCGCTAGTGGCAAAGAATCCGCCTGCCAATGTGGGAGACGCAAAAGGCATGGGGTTCGATCCCTGGGTGGGGAATATCCCCTGGAAGAACGCATGGCAACCACTCCGGTACCCTTGCCTAGAGAATCCCATGGACAGAGGAGTCTGGCAGGCTACAGTCCAAGGAGTCACAAAGAGTTGGGTACCACTGAAGCAACAGAACACACACACACACACAGATAGAAGGCAGCGGGCCTGGATTGGACAGAAAATAAGGGCCACTGTGCCCAGGAGTGGGGCAAGGCTCAGAGGTTGATCAGTGGAGCCACAGCACACTGAGGTCTGAGAAGAATGCTCAGTCTGGAAAAAATGGGATACTCTGGAGAAAATGGGATAAACTGCGCGAACCCGGAGAACCTTGTGCTGGATAAAGAAGCTGTGTGTGTTCTGCAGATGGCAAGTGTGGGTGGGGAAAGGAAGGAATGACCACTTTGGTGTAAGGCTTGCCCTCCTTCCCCTCCTGCCCCACCCTACACAAACTAGAAGATCCCAGATCCATAGGGGTATCCCAGAAATACCACCCCACACCCTAGCACTGCCCCTGCCACAACCCAAGAGAAGCAGAGATCAGGTTGTTAAAAGGGAAACAACACAGAGAACTGCAGCCTGGAGCCATCAGACCTGGACAGCCAGGACCCCCACCCCAGGTCCGATACTAGAGAGCGCTGCTCAACCCCTCACTCCCACCTGTACCCCTTCCCACATAGCAAGGAATCCATGGAGCTGTCTGGAGCCTGAGCCCCGCACCTCCACCCCATAGACTATGCTTCAGTATGCAAGACGTCAAATTCCCCTTCTAAATGGCTCCGAGTCTCTTAAGAGCTTCGTGGGTCCTTTCCTCTTGAAGGTAGAAGACACCGCTGTGAGTCTGTGCACCCTTAGGTGTGAGGGGAGGCTAAGAGTGACTGTTTGCAGGTGTGGTAAACAGTAGGGGGGTGGGAAGGCTGTGGACGTGCAGATGTCAAGGTGCCTACAGAGGCCCTCACAGTGCTGGACGGGCTAAGGGTGGGAGAAGGGATGGGCCTTCCTCAGCGGTCTCTACCTCAGGCCCTGCAAATGCAAACGTTAGGAATGGACCTGCACCCCTCATTTCCCCAGCAGTTTTGTGAAAGGGATCCCAAAGAACCCCCGAGCACAGTTCTCCTTTGCAGTACCCCTTCCCCAAATGAGCCTACACTGCAGGCTCCTGGCCACACTACCGAACCATCCATTCTGCTAGGCACCAGGAAGCCAGAAAAGAGCCTGAATCCCCGTGTCCTTGTTCTCAAAGCAGCTCGTTTCATGTCTCCAAATTCCCTTCCAGCACGGGAAGTCTCCATAATCAAGAAATTCACCTGAGGCAGCGATTACACAACCAGACTCTAAGATAAGGCAGGAGTAGGAACCACATGACATGTTTTATTTATTTACTTATTTTTCACATAATATGTTTTAACTTGGAGAAACACGTGGGCAAGTCATTCTGCACCACTCAGGCACATCTGGAATTACATAGAAAACACTTATGAAGGACAGGTGATAGGGAGATCTAGGCCTGAGGAAGCAGGATGGCGAGCCTTTAAAAAATAATGACAATGACTGTCATGTATCAAGTGCAGACCAGCAGCTAGCCTCCAGGCCGAGCGCTGCTCTTATAGGAAACAGCAGAACTCAAGTGCCTGGGTTCAAAGCCCAGCTCTGCCACTTTGGAGCTGTGTAGCGTCAGAGGAGAACTATAAACCTCTCTGCCTCTGTTTCCTCATCTAGAAAATGGAGATCAGCAGCAGCAGCCTCTCCCAAGCTTGCTGTGTTAACATGGGTAAAATGCTGAGAATAGTGGTAAGCACTCTGTAAGGCTTAGATATTACAAATGGTCACCACTCTCTGGGGTAGGAAGTATTGGGTGGGTCATAAAGTTCCCTCAGGTTTTTCCATGAGTTGTTACAGAAATCTCAAATGAACTTTTTGGCTAACTCAGTATTACCCCAAATGTACAGATGAACAAGTGCAGCTTTTGAGGTTCTGTAGTTTGCTGGGGAGCAGCAGAGCCAGGATCCCAAACCAGCCCAGCTCTAAAGTTTAACAATCTTTCTGTTAAATCATGTTGCCATCATGAACTTCAAGGGGTATGGCTGAGAAATGCTGCTTCATTTGGAGGATTACAGGAGGAACGGGAGGCAGCTCTTTGAAAGGCTTCCAGTGAGACCCCAGGGGCTTGAACAAATGTGCAGGCTAGAGAGAAAGATTTTTACTATTTCAATAAGATGGGCTATTTCAAAGTGGGAAATCCTCTAGGATGAGATGTTCAAGCAGACTTGTAGGGATAGTATAAATTAACATGAATTAATTATGAATGAGTTAAGTATGAATTGAATATGAATGAATTAATATCTCAAATCACCAGCCTTATTTTGCATAAGGATGCATTGGATGAAAAATGTAACATTCCAGACTATATATGGATCCCTAGTTAAAAAATAAAAATAAAAAAAATCACATCACAGGATAAATTACAGCATCATAAGTGTGTGTTAGTCGGCGTCTCTGGTTTCATCGAGGCCTAAAATGCCCTATGGAAAACAGACCATGCCTCCCCATTCCACTGCAGTGACTTAGGGAGGTTGCAGGGAGGTGCTGTCATCCACACTTGCCCTTTGCCACCAGTGACTGGTGGCATGGCCCAGTTTCTCCTAAAACAAGTCATGCTTGAAATACTGAGACTGATGTGGAAAGGGCTGGCTGGGAATAAGGGGCAGTTACTGCAGTTGAAGTCATAACACGTGGCAGCCAAAGGGCAGATATAAAAAAACACAAAGCATCTGAACATTGTTCACAAGACTTAAGGCCCACTCCTGCAGACTGATACGAACCTCAGGAGGTAGCTGATCCTGACATCCTGGTTTCCGGAGAGCCCTGGCACAACCCACATTGCCACAGTGCTGCTAAAATCCCATCTCTGGCCAGCACCCACCTGCACCTGAATCTTTTCAACATTAGCACTTAAAGCTGAAGCCCTCAGCCTGTGTCAGAGAGGAGGCAGCCGATCCATCGTGTGGTGATGACGCTGGACAGACAGGCCTTCGAAATGCTGCCCTGCAGGGCAGACCCACCTGCTTCCACCACGAAGAGCCAACTCAGTGAGGCTGGCTTTTTTCAACTCCCTTTCCCTGTTCGTATGTTTGGGTTCAGCTCCCCCGGCAGATGCGACCCGAGGATGCCGTTTCTCGTTATCTGGGGGGGACACAAACCAGGAGTCCCTTCTGTTTCATCACTTTGACAAGTGGGAAGTAGCTCTTCCAGCTGTTCCAGGAAAGAATTCCTTAAATTGGGTAGTTAGGGCTTGCCAGAGGCGATCCCAGCGCAGCTGTGGGAGCCCCACTGACTCCCCTGTGGCGTCTGCAGCCCTCGAGCTGGTCTCGTCCCCCGCCACACCCCCGTTGCCACCCTCCCCACAGCCGCCAGCAGTTTTAGACACAGTTGTGGGCCCCCTCCTAGGTCTGCACTTGCACAGGGAGGACTTGTTCTGATTAGCCTTTCCTCCTGCATGTTGAATCTCCTTCTTTAAGAGGAAGAGTGGAGTAAACACTCTGAAGTGATTTCATGCAATTTTACTTGTATACAACATTCTGTGCTAGACAGTACATAGAGCCCTTTATATGAGCCTCGGATCTTGATCTCACCCTCCATGTTGTAAATAGGGATTGTTATCTAAAACTGCTGTAGAAAATTCATTTGTGGTGCAATACACTTTTGATTAAAGCCCTTCAATCCAGGAAAAAAAAAAAAAAAAACCACAAAGCTAAATATAGATTGATTTCATGCCATGTGCTCCACTGTGTCTGAGGTTAGGGACCATGTCTCTTTATTGACCTAATCCATATATCTAACAAAGAGAGCCACAAAGCAACAGCCAATCAGTGCCACCGCAGAGGCCGTGATCACCACGACGACGACGCTGCCGGCCGTGTTGACCAGAAGGCCCAGGCCACCTCCAACCAGGATCTGAGCCAGCTGCACCATGCATGTGAGGGCAGCACAGTCCAGGCCTTGCCCTCTGCTGCTGCTGTCCGGGCCCCCGCCCAGGGCCCGTTGCTTCTGCAAGGCAAGAACAGGGACAGCATTTGATCTATGCCAACTGTCCTATAGGGCAGAATCAGCAAGCAAACATGTTCTTTAGAAAGCCAGATGACAGATACTTGCAGCTGTGGTTACAAACACATGACTCGGCCGTTGCAGTGCCAAAGTAGTCACGGTGCACAAACAAGTTCCAACACAGCCTTAGGACGCTGCTATTTGATTCAAGCTCTACCCCCTGCCTTTCCCCCTTCCCTGCCACAAAATCTTAAATATTAACTATGGGAGCTAAATGATTAAGAACACAAAATTCTCTCTTCCTAAGCATTCAATAAATACAATGGATTAGAAATAATAAATATCCCTTTTCATCCCTTCCTTAGAGTTGAAAGTTCAAACACTTTTAGGAGGATGTTGAATCACAGATATATGTTAGGAGAGGCAACATAAAAAAGCAATTCAACCTTTTCAAATAGGGTTGTTGTTTGGTTAGTAGATTAATGTTTGATTACTATTTGACATTTGGTCTGAACTGGCTGATAGCATTGCCATTTATCGGGTATCATATATGTGCTAGGACTTGGGCAAGGCTCTTTCACTTATGTTGTTTCATTCATGAAATGAATGAAACTTACCACCTTTCCAGAGGCACATGGTGCCACCAGGGAAGCCCCAAAGCGTTAGTCCCTCAATCATGTCCGGTTCTTTGTGACCCCATGGACTGCAGCTGGCCAGGCTCCTTTGTCCATGAGGATTCTCCAGGCAAGAACACTGGAGTGGGTAGCCATTCCCTTCCCCAGGGGATCTTCCTGACTCAGGGATTGAACCCCAGTAATCTGCATTGCAGGCAGACTTTTTTTCTCTTTTTAACCATCTGAGCCATCAGGGAGGCCCATTATTATTATCATTAACCTCATGATAACAATACTACTACCACCTACCATTTTTTGAGTCTTTGCAAGGTGCCAGGTAGGCATTATGCTAAGCAGATTACCTATACTATCTCGTTTCATTTAATTTTCCAACAGTTCTATAAGGTGGGTATGTCATTCCCATTTGATTAGAAAACTAAGGCTCTATGAGTCTGAATGACAATTCCTACACTATTAAATTTTAAAAAATCATTGTGCAGGAAAATGCATCGTATCCTTTGAATAAGAAAAGGAAAATGAGAAAATGCAATTCATAATTGATAGATTTTCATTTAAAAATACTAGAAAGATAGACAAAAATCTGAAGAAACTGGCTACATGTAGGAGCCTGGGGTAGGGGGTAGGGGAAATAGGGAAAAAGAGTGGAGGGAGAGGTAGATAGGTGCCACTGGATTCACGCTTGCATATCATTGTGCTTGCTGAACCATGTCATTGTATTTCCCATCTAAAAATGAACTCATTTTGAGTGACACTTAGTAAATAAATGGACAAGATCTCTGGGCTTCCCTGGTGACGAAGACAGTAAAGAATCCGCCTATAATGCAAAAGACCCAGGTTCGATCCCTGAGTCAGAAAGATCCACTGGAAAAGGGAATGGCAACCCACTCCAGTATTCCTGCCTGGAGAATTCCATGGACAGAGAAGCCTGGCGGGCTACAGTTCATGGGGTCACAAAGAATTGCATGTGACTGAGTGATTATTTTTTTTTGCTTTATGACTCCCCAGTGTCCCATAGCTGCCAAATGGGGGAGGCACGATTTGAATCCAGGTTCTTCTGAGTCCATAGCCTCTGTATTTGGGACCTAGTATCATCCAACTCTGTCTTGGAGGGGCGGTTCTCAACGACAGCTGTATCTCTAGCACCTAAGTGCCTGCCATGCATTGAAACATTAGTGACGATGCCTGCCACGGGTAAGGACAGCTACAACTCTTGTTTAAAGGTCTTAACGGCTAGTGCGACCTCACCGCACTGCACTTGCCAAATCAAATGATGAAAAAGAAGACCAGTGTTCTGGTCACATGGACATGTGTTCAGCATTTTTGCAGTTTCCTGCTGGGATGGATTAAGCTAATAGTTCTCTTTAGCTTTTACAGTTGAGGAAATGTAAGCCTATTTTCAGAGGGAAAGTTGCATATTTTGATAAGAAAAGGTGGTCATTTTAGAGCAGAAGTCCCCAACCTAATGCTTTTTTAGGGCCACGTGGAGTCTTGCCCTCTGGCTTGAATTCCCAGATGGAAATGGAGATGGGGCGGGCCTCCCTTGAGGCAGCTAGAAAGGTAACCATCTGCCACCAGCTTTCGTCCCTGCACACAGGGCCTGACTTACTAAAACCCCATTTCCAAGGAAAATATTGCTCAACCAGTAACTCCCAGAAATGGCACTGGACCTCTGTAGCGGTTGACGGCCGGGGCCCTCGCTGTGGCATGCAGAAATGGCTCCAGGTGCATGGTACGTGCCATGAGCCCAGAGTTTCCCCGACTTTGTCTCTGTGTGACTGTGGGCTGGCTTCTCAGCATTACCAACCCTCCCTTTTCCAGTCTCACAAATGGGAGTAACGGAGCCTGTCCAACTGCTCCCAAGTGCACTGGGCTTCAGAGTAAGGAGGAGGGGGTGGGCTGGGAACGTGGTCATGCCTTGGCCAGGCCATCGTAGCATCTGGCTGGACATTTTAGTGCTGCAGTTTCAAGAACCCCTATTTTCCAGCTCTGCTCTACACTCTCCCAAGTCCCCCCGCCTTCAAGCGGCTCCAGACGTCACTCAGCACTGAGGTTCGACCACGCACCTGCTCCTCGTGGTGATACACAGCGATGAGGTTAAAGGGTACCGTGTACAGGGTGCTGGACATCACTCCAAACAAAGTGCACATGACCAGGGTGGAGTAGACGCTCGGGAAGAGCCCGATGAATCCTGTCCCCAGGCCAAACAGCAAATACCCCATAAAGTAAAGACCCTTTAATCCAATGCAGGGAACCAAAGCTTTCTGAAAGTCTGTGGGGAGAAGAGAGGGAGAAATTATAGCTGGCAGAGCCTCACACCAGCTCATAATTTCAGACAACCTTTGCTTTTGAAGATTCACTTTTGTTTTTTTAAAACTTTACTTTGATATTGAGTCAGGAACAAAAGAACCTCATCTGTGCTTAAAAACAGCCAGTTTTGGGAATCAGTTTTGAATCCTTTGCATAAAGGAGAGTTGGAGATTGCCTTCCTGGGTTGATTTTCTTTTCTGCAGGGAAGGACCAGGTACTATGTAGTGGGCAGCTGTATATATAACAAGATGCAGAAGAGATGATTGAAAAGCCCACAATTATGGGACCCTGGGGGCGGCAGGACATGCAAGAAACATGCAGGTCTTTCTAATTCACAGGGATCTATCCCAGCAGGACCAAAATAACAATCCAGGTCTAGCTTGACCCAAAGTCAGGTTGGAGGAAATGAACATAACCAGAGTTTATGAAATAAGCTGAGTCATTCGGTCTTTCCGCCCCACCCGAATGCTGTCTTCGCAACCTGAGAAGGAGGTAAAGAAGGTGCATCGCCTGCAGACACTGGCCCTGATGAGCCAGCCCTTCCCAGTCCGGTCAGGGGACACTGCTGTGCCAGGCACCTCCCCATCGCTGGCACCCTCACACTCTGGACAAATTCTACAACTTCTCCAAAACCTCAGCTTCTTGATCAGAATAATGGAACTAGTAAAATCCTTGCTGGTGGTTGTTACTAGGATCAAATGAAGTAAGATAGCTGTGAAATCCCCCAGCCGAATGCTAAGCACAGAGAAGACATCAAGTTAACATTGGTTATCTATCATAATTCCAAAAACACAGACTTTGCTAAATATGGTTGCCTTTTCACTGGGGTCTCCTCGAAGCCGGTACACTTGGCTTGCTCATAAAAGACTCATGGTAGAGCTCATTCTTTAAAAATTGAAAATTTTGCTTTAAAATATTTTCCTATATTTCCACCACAGTAGGGAAAATCCCTAAGAATGTTTTATCTTCCTTTTTTAATCATTTATTTTAATCCATAATTTTCTTATCTTTCCTCTGCCCCATGCTGCTAGAACAAATGAACCCAGGAGATAGATAAATGATAGAAACTAGAAATGTGCCTAGAGTGAAATTTCCCATATCTATTCAAATAATTATTGGATTTACATTGCACAGACAAGAAACCTCATCTGTATCCCATTTGTATTATTGTTAAATCAATTATGCATTAAATTTGTGAAGAGAAAGTTGCCCAGTCGTGTCTGACTCTTTGCTACCCCAAGGACTTTATAGTCCATGGAATTCTCCAGGCCAGAATATTAGAGTGGGTGGTGTTTCCTTTCTCCAGGGGATCTTCCCCATCCAGGAATCAAGCCCAGGTCTCCCTCATTGCAGGTGGATTCTTTACCAGCTGAGCCACAAGGGCCACCCAAGAATACTGGAGTGGTAGGCCATCCCTTCTCCAGTGAATTTTCCCAACCCAAGAATTGAACCAGGGTCTCCTGCATTGCAGGCAAATTAAATTTATATCCATTATGTATTACATTGGTATCAATTTGGAATTCCAGAAATGTTAAAGGAACAACACTGCTTCCTCTGTTAAATTCATGCCATGCTTGTAGGGGTGTTGTCAAGGCTGAGAATAAAAGCAGTATAAATCTAGTGTATTTAATGATAACATTTATGCCGAAAATAGAATATAAGTTGTCTCAGTACCTGAAAGATGCCATCAGTATTCATTAGGTAAATGCTCTCACCAAGTAGATGGGCCAACCAGGAAGAAGGCAAAAGGTGATAAAAAGATATTTGGAAACATAACTAACTTCACTACAAAGACTGAAAATCTGGCAAAGAATGCTTTATTTATGAAGAGAACTCAGTCACTGTCAGGGCCAAGCTGGCTTGCCCTCTGCTGTGTCTGATATTAAATAACGTTGTGCCTCTCCTTAGGGTTGGAGAGAAATGACTGGTTTAGGCCCCAGCTTTGAATAGTAGTCTATGATATGAACAACTGGCTATATTTCAGTACTCAGAGTGGCTATACTCATTGATCTAAGTGTACCTGTTGTATAAAAGGAGCTTGAAAACAGTCCTTTATCACCATCCCCCATCTCTTAACCCAGCAGCCAGATTGCCCTACCAAAGTCCATCTGGATAGAAATTCTGGCTGGTCAACCTGGTGTTATGTGAGGAGTCCAAAATACAGGGTTATCCAGTGTACTCTAGAATTGCGGCAAATGATTTATTCTGCCCAGAGTGGGTTGGAGTGCAGAGGGAAAGACTTAAGAGACGGCCCAAGCAGGGGCATACTGCAGTTGGGTCTGGGTAGGGAGGGAGGAATAGCAGCTCAGGCAGAAGAAACCAAAAACAAATACAGAGACATGAGACCATCTGGGAAGTGAGTCACTGGGGGGGTTCCTGCTTGGGAGTGACTGAGGTCCAAGGATGAGCCAGGCCAGACGGTGAGTCCTGGAGCACCAAGGTCAGGATCTTTACTCTATTTTATTGGAGCCCTTGAAGATCTTTAGGCAGGGCTGCTTGGTATTTTATAAAGAATATTTTAGTTCTAACTCACCATCTTAGGAATATCACAGGTCTATACACTAATATAACTTTCAAAAACTATTAAAATAGGAGGAATTCTTGAACAGAGAGATTTTAAGTAGAAAGGTCCTAAAAAATAACATGCTCTTGAATTTTTAAGAGCCATGAAATTCATGTAGGAACTCAACCTAGATAATGGAAGGGTCCCTGGGAGGGATTCTTTGAGGAAAACAAGTTAAAATTGACATAAAATTAAAAGGCTAACCACTTTTAGAAAAATATTTTCCTCTTCAAAGAATGAGGATGGTAGTAAATAGTTGCCCCACTTCTTGAAAGCACAGAATGAGATGGATAGGTTATTAAATCCTTTCAGTCTAATGCTCCCTGATTCTAGGTATTTGAAATTGTCCTCCTGCAAGTTTTTTTTTTTTCTTCTTCTTCTTAATTTGTACACTCTCGATCCAAGGATCAAACCTGTGTCTCTTACTTCTCCTGCACTTGCAGGCGAGTTTGTTACCATTAGCACCATCTGGGAAGCCCAAGGTGGGTAAAGGTATTCCCTAGCGGCTCAGTGGTAAAGAACCTGCCTGACAATGCAGGAGATGCAGGGTCAGGTTCAATCACTGGGTTGGGAAGATCCCCTGGAGAAGGAAATGGCAACCCACTCCAGTTTTCTTGGCCTGGCAAATCCCAAGGGCAGAGGAACCTGGCTGCAGTCCAAGGAGTTGCAGAGTCAGACATAGCTCAGCAACTAAACAACAAGGAGGGGAAAGGGTTTTGCTAAGGAAATGTAAGCTTCAAGCTACCAGTATTTCGTTACCATAAATTTTAAAATAAATGAATTTTATGGTTTTATGATTATGGGGTTCATGGATATGATTATATTAGGTCTCCTTTCCCCAGTTGTGCTATACTTTACAGAGATTTTCTTGATCTCAAAACAGGTTTTCAGCTGTGTTATGGCTGGGCAAAAGGTTAAATGCCAGGCTAGGGGACACTATACATTTACTTTCCTCCTCAACAAGAAGCACACTTCAGTGACAGAATGATGTCCCTGGGAATGGTACCAGGGATTGTTCTCCATTGCCTCCCCCTGTCCCACCTGGGCCATAACCCTGCTGTCCCCTGGGCCTGTCCAAAGCCTGGACCTCTGCCCTGGGGATTAGCTATTTTTCCCACAATACTGAAGAAGCTTCCAAATTTCCACTCCAAATGAGGGATCTGCATACATTTTACAGGTCTGAGTTTTCATTTAACTCAATCTCACTTAGAGATTTCCATACAAATTTCCATCACACAAGCACAAAATGAGCCTGTGTGATGCCCTAAAGTTAGAGGACATCCATTTGGACATAGTTAAACCCCACCCCAGAAATCCCTTTGAAATGGTAGCTCAGACGGTAAAGCGTCTGCCTACAATGCAGGAAACCCAGGTTCAATCCCTGGGTCGGGAAGATCCTCTGGAGAAGGAAATGGCCACCCACTCCAGTACTCTTGCCTGGAAAATCCCATGGACTGAGGACCCTGGTAGGCTACAGTCCATGGGGTTGCAAAGAGTCGGACATGACTGAGCGACTTCTCTTCACTTCACTTCAAACCCAATCCCAGAAATCCCTTCGAATACAGTGTCCCCATAGATAAATTTAGCCAAGGTTGGGGTTGGGGGGTGAAATTAATAGACCCCATGGAAAGCTGATGCCTGAGAAGAAAAGCTGTCCTTCTCAATCTGGAACAGGGCTCCTATAACATACCACCCTACCAATCGGAGCTGAAGTTATTTTATATGTTACTTTTGTGACCTATCATATTAACCATCCCTCCTATTTTCTGTCAAGATTGATAAGTGTACTTATGAAACCCCATGGTGATCTCACTGCAGCAGAACCCAGACCTGCTTTTAATCAACCATCTTGGCTGTGACGATCCCTCATGCATCCAATACTTTACCATGTTGTTTCCATGATTTCCTCTTATTTCCCAAAGTATCTTGATCAGGAGCCCCCTGATTCCAAGTACATAGTAACTGCTGTGGAGAATGGCACCCAGGATTCACTAGGAAAAGGCTACTTGATGTGGTCTCTTCTAAGGGAAAAGGTTTTTCCTGATCTCCATATATTTACCAAAAATAAAATCCAAGATTCTGCTAGACCAGAGCCCTTAGGAAGACACCCTCAAGAGGAGGAGGCTTACTTACAAGAATAAAGCGAGGAGAACATAGAGTTGATGCACAAGCCCCAGCATCCAACCTCCACCCCTCTTTGGTAGATGAGGAACTCTGTGGAGTTGTGGGCACCGTAGGGATCCCCGTGGTACACGATCTGCAAGAGAGATTTGGGGCCGTTGAGTTCCCAGTGTGGGTTGGTAAGGATCCCCTCTCATGTTCTCTGTGTCTCTCTTCCCCCATGACTGCATCGCCCTTTCATCCTTTTCACGCCTTTCATATCCTTTCACTCAAGGACCCTCAGGAGGACTTAATGACTATTGCATCCAATCTAAACAGCATCCTTCAAATGTTGAACATCCCTCCTTCTGTCTAACATCTGACTCCACCCGACTTGGCAACCTTGTCACCCCTATTCTGATACAACCAACAGGCTTCAGACTCATCTCCACACATGCCAGTCCTATCTCCAATTGGAATGTTTCCTTCCCATCCCCTCCGTCTCCAATTCCTATTCAGCCTTCAAGACCCAAATCACACTGCCCCTCTTTTATTAAGCCTGCTGTGACCACTACAGCTCACCTCAAATTTTCCTTATTTGCTGTATTTGATTGAGTACTGGTCCCATAGTGTCCTCTAACTGTGCAGGGTGTAGAAACTTCCCTCTGGAACTTGTCTATAAGCCAGCTCCCTGAAGGTACTCTCTCTTCGGCTCTTACTGTGCCCATCCTAGAGGCACTCAGAAGCTCCACAGGTGCTGATGGAGCGATTGGCGTGTGAGTCAAAGAGCGTGTGCAGACATGTCTGTTACCTGGCCCATGAAGTCTGTGAAGAAGAGCATGTTGGATAGGAAGGCAGTCCATCCAATGAGGTGGCTGATGCAAAGGCAGCGGTAATGAGGGGGCATGCTCCTCAAGGCCCTCAACAGTGACCTCAAGGTCATTGTCCTCTGAGTCTGGAATAAAACACCAAACAGGTGTGACATTCAGTGTAGACACACAGCTCACTGTGGGAGCCAGCATGCAGCCATGGTATGTACCTGATAGTAGTCTATCACACAAGGTCACACCATCTGGGCGCAGCACCATGGTTTCCATGGAGTGTTCTCACAGGAGGTGTTCTGTTATGTACGTGCAGATACTTCACAGTTTTAGGCCAACATCAGGGCTTTGAGGACATAAGGGCGAAGGGGCTAGAAATAGACTTGCTTTGAGCCAAGATGTAAGAGCTATCAAACTTCCTATCTTTGAATGACAGAACCACTGTACAAGGATGAAGCTCATGGATTTAAGTAGTCCCTAGATGGTTATAATTCTTCTATCTCTTGATTCTTAAAATCTGGTCATCCAAGTTCCAAGATGGCCTCTATACTCTCTCTCTTCATGTTTCTGTTCTATTCTATGGCAAAAGGATTCTGCAGAACTAACTAAGGTTACTAATCAGTTGGCTTCAAGTTAATGAACAGGGAGATTATCTGGGTGACCTTAATGAAATCACATCAGCCCTTTAAAAAGCATAGATTTTTCTCTGGCTGGAAGCAGAAGGGGAAGCCAGACAGTCTCAAAGCACAAGAATTGCTGGGGTTTGAAGGTGAAGGAGGCCACAGGGAAGAACTTGAGTGTGACCTTCAGGAAATGACTGACCCCTGGCCATCAATTAGCAGGAAAACAAGGACCTCGACAACCACAAGAAGCTGGATTCTACCTGCATGAGCTCGAAGCTGATTCTTCTCCATTCAAACCTCCAGATGAGAAGGCAGCTACACCAACACCTTGATTTCAGCCTTGTGAGACCCTGAGCAGAGCACTTGACTGAGCCCACCCATACTTCTGACCTACAGAACTCTAAGATAATAAATGGGTGTGGCTTGAAGCTGCTAAACCCATGGTGGTTTATTATGTTGCAGTAGAAAATTACTACATTGAGCCAATCAGCTCCCTGCTCTGGGTCAGGTACCTCCTCCTGGTTTATTTCTCTGGATCCTGCCATCAGTCAATATGTGTAAATGAGCCCTAAGTCTAGTCAGAGGTGAGAACATTGTAGAACATACACATACACACAAAAATACACACATGTAAAATGAATACATATGCCCCCCCCCCAATTCTTTAACCTAGACTTAAATTATGTTAAAACCAGAGGCTATAATTTATTGGTGCCAGTAGCTTTGAGAGAATGAAAAAAATTGAACTATTGACACAGTTGTTCTGAGGCAAAAGAAACAGGCTTTAACAGCTTGTCATATGAGAGAAGAAAAATATCTTGGGAATATTAAGAAATCAGCTGCCCTGAAGACACCAAGACAATAAACATTGACCATGGTAGGGTGATGAGTCTCTCTTTCTGTCTGATTTCTATTCTGAATCTTGACATAATAAAATTGGATCTTAGCTAGTGTATTTACAAGATAGTCTCCTGAGACTTTTCCATTTTAACTATGAGAAAATTGTTTTATAACTCTTAACCTACTATAACTTTTTTTTACTTCTTTTACTTCTTTGATGCAGAAAATTACATTCACTCATTGTAGGGTTGCAGTACAAGTTGATTTTTTATTTCGTGGATTTTATAGTATTTAACCTAATGAACATGACTCCACTGACTTTTATACTTACTCAGTATTTAAAAAAAAATACATAGACATTACTCTGGAGTAAGGAAAAAAATATTTTCTGCATGTAGAACATGGTATTTGTCTAAATAAATGGTGACCATAACAGAAATCCAATGCAGAATTATTACTTTTTCCCTTGACTACAGGAAGAAACAATTAACGGTATAGGCTGAGGAATAACTGCTTGATTTTCATATCTCAGACCAAGTGATTCATCTTTAATTTCTTTCCCTTCTTTCCAAAAATTCAAAAATTTAAAAAGTGAATCTGACCAGCAAGTATCCAGCCTCTTTCAAATATTAATTTATGCTCTGGCCTTATATACAATTTCAGCCTGCTTTCATTGTTAACCCAATTTTTTTTCTTTCTCCCCCAAATAAATAGAAGCTTCAAAATTATGCCTTTCTGTAAAAGCTGTGAATATAAATATTCAAAGTCCTTCTGGATATTTTAACTCAGAATGAAAATTCAGCTAGCATCTTGTTCAGTGACTCATCAGTTCCCTCAGTAAAATCCTTGCAATGATTTTGAGCTGTTGGGAGTTGTTTTACTGCATGCATTTGTCAACTGGAGATTGGGTCATGATGGATTTATTTATTTATTTACTTTCATGATGGATTTATAAATGAAAAATGAACAGAGCCATGAGGGGGAGACAGAATTGCACAAAAGTACCCTCAGAAAGAGACTAAATGTTGAAGCGAGCAACTAATGGTGGGGAGGAAATAGAGAGAAATTTTTATGGTATCCAGTTTCAACAATGAAATAATTCAGGCTTCTTGCCATTAAAAAAAAAAAAAAATCCCAGTTCTCAAATTGCACAGCCACCCTCATTTTGGGAAGTAATGAGTTTGACAAACAAGGATATGTAGGACCTGACACTGTGGAGATTGCCCACTGCTCAGCTGGAAGCTCCCCAGATGCACTATTGGAATAGCAGTCAGGTGCTTGATTTTGAGCCTAAGATATATTACTGGTTTTTTTTTTTTCTATGTAGTTTTTCTTTTATATTTTTGTCACATAATAGAAGCATTTAGAGCCTACAGTGTTGTGCATGTGGCATATGCTGATACAAGTTAATTGCATTTGATGCATTTCTTTTCCTAATGGTGTAGAGGGTTTTATATGCTTTTCAAAAGACTTCCACACACTTGATTTCATTCAGTCATCACAACAGCCTCGGGGCAGACTGAGACAGCCTCTGTTGTGTGACTCTTTGAGGGCCAGTCAATGAAAAGAGGGCAAAGAGGCAGGCATAATCTATCATATCTACTTATCTTAAGTAAACTATGTCTGGTTTTATTCCTTTAACCCTGACATTATTTCTTCTTTATTTTCAAAGTAATATTTGTCTATTACAGAAATGTTGAATACACTGAAGGGTTTAGAAAAGAAAATGAAGACCACCTGTTAGCCTATCACACAAGGACAATAATTTCAATGAGCATTTTGGGTGTATATCCTTTCTGTTTTTTTCTCTGTGTCTGCGTAGCTTTTCCCAAATCTCCACTGTGTAAAATTCCTCTCGGTTGAACACTTGGTTCTGCAAATGAACTCTGACATCCTTGGCATCTTTATGATTGAATAAAGAGCATCGTTGTCTAATGGTGAAGTGATCTAGTCACACCACATGTCCTAGAACTGCCCTCTGAACCTGCAACAGTGTGACCACCTCCAGGGCTTCCCCTTCTTCCTGGAGCCTACCAGGGCATTTACCATCCAAATAGGTCACCATATGTGCCTTTGATCTGTTTAAACATATGCAAATCACCCATAATTAGACTACATATTCTTTGTGGGCAGTGAATATATGTGTTTTTCATTGCAACCCATTGGCCACTGTTTCCTTTAATTCCACCTTAAAACGCTTGGTGACTCAGGGCATGATAAGAATGCTATCTTTTTGGAATTTAATGGCTAAACAATTGTTTATCTGTAAATATCCTTTATGGCAAATTTTCAATCCTCTCTTCTCTCAGGGAATGGGAAAAAAACATTCATTTTGTATATATGTGTGTGTTCTATCTGATAAATTATGTCTTAAATAAATCTTCAAAAACACACACATCTAATGATCAAAGGGCTTCCATTGTGTGGCTATTCCATGAATCCCATGCTGCTGCCTTGCAGAACCACAGAGCAAGGGAGCTCCGTCCCACCGGATACCAGCAGGGAGTATAAATGTTTTCCCACAGGCAGTCTGGAGCCCCAAGGTCTCAGCAGGTCTCTGGAGACCTAGATTCTCCTATTTTCTCTATTCACTGTGTGATCAAAATAAAATGAAGGCTCCATCTCAATAGCCTCTTAGTTCCTCCAGTTCCCAACTGGGATGCTGTAATTTGGAATAACAAATTTATAATCCTAATCTAGCCTGAGGATGGATGATTCCAGGCTTCTCTTATGGCCTAACATTTTACAGCCAGCTTCAACTTCCCTGATTTGATGGTCTGCAAAGAGTCAGAGGCAGAGGGACAAGAGGGAAATGCACACATTTTTCTATCAGGTGCAAAGTTTTAATTCCAAGGGATAATAGCTACTGGGCATTTGCAGATTCAATTAGTAGATTCACAAAATTTCAACTTGAGGAAAACAAAACCTTTTACATCAAATAATCAAGCAAAACAAAGACAAGGATTAACGTTTAAAAGGATGAACACATGGAAAGAACAAGACTATTTTCCCTAAATAAGTAAAAAAGAATTTGCATCTTTACCTGTTCAGCAGGATTTTTGGCTTTTCCTCCCTGCAGCACCAACTCTTGGTTTACGTAACCATTTTTTACTTCCTCAATAGACCCATACTCGTACATTTTGTCTGATGATGAGGCAAGGTCCTGGGGGGCTTGCTGTGGGGGAATGTCCTTTGCAACATCTGTAAGTGGGGCTTCAGGGATACTGCACAGGTGGATAATGAAACACAAAGTGAGCACCAGTGAGGAGAAAAAGAACATGACCTGGAATTCCGTGCCCAGCAGTCTTCCCAGTTCCAAGTGGGCCCAGTCGATGGCGCCCAAAAGGTAACCGAGAGCACCTCCCAAACCTGCAAAACAAGAAGGAGCTGTATCAGCATTAATTAGAACTATTTTCTCTCTCCATCATGTGCACGCCCCCTACTTCAGTGGGAAAGTTCCCTGAGGACAGCAGAGGTGGCCTGGTTATAATTGGATTAGTAAAACAGGGAGAGGCTAAGACACCTGGGCTGGATGTGTGAGTTCAAGGCCTGGCTCTATTATACATTTGCTGTGAACTTGGATTTCCTCATTCATAATATGGGGATGATGATAAAAAAAAAAAAGTAACATGCTAGACACATAGTTAGCACTTAGTAAATATTGCCACCATCTGAAGTCCCACGATTTTCTAAACTGCACTCTCAACATGGCTTAAGAACTAAAATTCCTGGCCCTAAGAGCCCTAGTTTCTGATTGTAATAAAATATAATTATTGCATTGTCATTGATCTGTTAATGAGTTTCTTAGGGTGACACAAGTTTGCAAAGATCAAACAGCCCTGGAATCTCTCTTCTTTCCCCTATGACAAGCTAAAGGTGTGACTTGGGGAGATAAGTTAGAAGTTTGGGATTAACAGATACACACTACTACATATAAAAGAGATAAACAACAAGGACCTACTATATAGCACAGGGAACTATATTCAATATTTTGTAATAACCTATGATGAAAAAGAACCTGAAAAAGCATCTGTATAACTGAATCACTTTGCTATATACCTGAAATATTATAAATCAACTATACTTCAATAAAATAAAATAGAAAACAAAAGCTAAAGGTACTTGGTACCAGTTGATAGCCACAGAAAAAATACAAATTTAAATATGAATTTTTAAAAAATTATTTATTTATTTGGCTGCGCTAGATCTTAGTTTCAGCACCTGGGATCTTCAATCTTCACTGTGGCATGCGGGTTCTTTAATTGCAACACTTGAACTCTTAGATCTGGTATGTGGGATCTAGTTCCTTCATCCAGGTCCCCTGCATTGAGAGGATGGCGTCTTAGCCACTGGACCACCAGGTAAATCGCTAAATATGAATTTTTTAAAATCCTGTTATCCTGTCCCAGGATCCTGACCTGAAGTCTTTCTGGTGCTCAGCTTACCTGCTTACACTTAAAGACAGTGTGATCTGAGGGACATTGAGAAAGGATTTCTCAATAACGATCCTGCCCTTACAGCCTAACATCTGAAATTCTGCCATTAGTGATTCATTCTTTTGGGTTCCTGTTTTTAAAAGCAAGTGCTCCTGGTACAGACAAGCTATTGCAGGTCTCAGTACTGAAGTAGTAAGTGCTCCTCGGATGGTTTCCCTGGCCGTCGGCACCAGTGACATCTGAGAGTGCTGGGCTGCAGTGGGCATACCATGAGGTAGGGGATGTCCAGGGAGGTAAGCAGATGGATGCCAAATACATCTACCTACAATGCAAGCGTAGGGCTGATCCTCCTGCAAATACCTTTAAACATCAACCTTCCATCCTGTCTTACCAAAGAGAAATCTCTATCTACCTAGTCAGATCAGCTTTGTGTTTGTTTTTCTTTTTCTTGTGTTAGTGAAGTCTCCATTTTATCTCCCAGGTAAAGACAACATCCTGGGACTTGCCTGGTGGTCCAGTGCCTAAGAGTCCACTCTCCCAGTGTAGAGCGCCTGGGTCCAATCCCTGGTCAGGTAACTAGAACCCACATGCCACAACTAAGAGTTTGCATGTTGCATCTAAAAGATCCCACATACTGCAAAGAAGATTGAAGATCCTTCAAGCTGCAACTAAGATCTGGTGCAGCCAAATAAATAAATAATTTTTATTTTAATCTAAAAAAGACAATATTCTCACAAATCAGATAATTAAGGAATAAAACAGAGCTTAAGGAATTCTCTCTCAAACCCTAAACATTTAAACTTACCTAAACCCTGATCCCAGGAGCACAAATCTGAATGCCAGGTAATTTGAATCCTAATTTATCCAGAATGCTGGAAGAATGGATGATTCTAGTCACCTCACATTCTGTCTAATTGCAATTTACCATAGAGAGTATTTACAGATGAACAAATTTCAAGCACATCATTGTCATGCCCTGAGTGACAAAGCATTTTAAGGCAGAATTATGGAGAATAGTGGCCAATGGCTTGCAATGAAAAAATATATATATATATGTTCTCTGCTAGCAAGGACTATGTAGTCTAGTTATGGGTGAGGTGCGTGAATTTAAACAGATAAATGGTACATAGAGTGACCTGTTTGGCTGGTAGGTGCCCTGGTAGACTCCAGGAAGAAAGGGAAGCCCTGGAGGTGGTCTCATTGTTGCTGGTTCAGGGGCAGTCCTGGGTCACATGATGCCACGGATCACCATTAGACAACGGTGCACTTTATTCAATCATGGAGATGCTGAGGACGTCAGAGGCCATGTGCCAAGCCAAACAGTCAACCAAACAGAATGTACTAAAAGCCTAGCTCTATTGGAGGGTCTGTCTAGACCAGGGTTTCTCCATCTCAGCACCACTGACATTTTGGGGCTGAATACATCTCTGTTGGAGGCTGTTCTGTGCATTGCAGGATGTTTTGCAACATGTCTGGCCGCCTCCATGTGATGCCAGTACAACCTCTCCACTAGTCAACAGCCATGAATGTCTCCTGAGGTTGTCTAATATCCCCCAGGGGGACAAACGGGCATCAACTGAGAACCCTGTGCAAAACTTATACATTCTTTTCTCAAAACCACCATTTGTGACTAGATCAATGGTGGTTACACTGCCATTAAGTTCCACTATCATGTATGCCTCTTTTCTTCAAATTTATTCTTCCACTGAGCAGACGAAATGCAGAGCAGAAGACCCCTGCCCATTTGAAAGAACTGATGTGTGAAGTAAACCTTCCACTATGCAAACAGAATGTTGGTTTTATTTTATGAATATAAATATATGGATATAATCATAATGATGGATTATATTAGATATTGACTTGAACACTTGAGTGCTACAATTGGAGGGTTTCCTAGTCTAGTTCTATATCTACCGATGTCATGTACTCAATAAATATTTGAGTACTAAATTTATGTAGAAAACCTCTACTAGCTTCTGGGGATATAAACATAAATAAGACATAGTACCCCCATCCCTTCCTCCCCAGAAGATAGTTTCAAGGAGAAGAAGCAGATAAACAAACAGCTACTTAAAAAATTAAAAACTGTAACAAATAATGTGAGAACTGTGAGCTAGATATTAAAACATAATAGAGGAGTTTTGAAGAGTTTATTATTACTAATTATTATAGAATTCTTAATTAGCAATGAAGATCCTAAGAGTTCACTAAATCAAGGAATCCAAAGATTTTAGAGGTAGAAGGATGTCTGCAACTGGTCCAGCTGAATTAGACAAGAGAACTGCAGGCTATAGTGGGTGACAGGAGATCACATAGAAGGAAGGATTTATAATTACACTGATTACAATTCTCACCTGTGTGTTTTCTAACCATGTGACCTTGGGCACTTCTCTGAAAATGGGCATAGTGATGCCTTCCTATATGGGTCTTGTGAGAGTTAACATGACAATACATATAAAGTACCAGCACAGATAGCAGCAGAAGGAAGGAAGCAGGAAGTGGTGTCCCTCAGTCCTGTCTACTCTTTGCAACACTGTGGACTGTAGCTCACCAGTCTCCTCTGTCCATGGGATTCTCCAGACAAGAATACTGGAGTGGATAGCCATGCCCTCCTCCAGGGGATCTTCCTGTCGCAGGGATTGAACCCAGGTCTCCCACATTACAGGTCGATTCTTTACCATCTGAGCCACCAGGGAACCAGGTTTCAAGTGGAGTGTGCTACTGACTTCCTACAGAAACCCTAATCCCAAAGCCTCGCCCAGAGGCAGGAGAAGGTGACAGCTGCCGGGAGCTGGCCGAAAGGACTTAGTCATTCTAGGTCCAGTGACTAGAATTGGAGGATCACTCTGGGGACTAAGACTTGGGCTTACCACTGCCCTGGTGTGGCCTGTGGCAAGTGTTGTGGAAAAAATAAGTATCTCAAATCTGGAAAGAGCAAAAACTATTTAAAAGGGCCTTATTTCTTAAAACTCTCATTATAAAGCAGGACTTATTAAAAGTTAATGTGCACATGAATCACACGATGCCTTGTCACGATACAGGTTGTCTTAGTCATCTGTTCCAGCTGCTATAACAAATATACCATAAACTTCATGACTTATAAATACCAGACACTTATTTCTCACAGTTCTGGAGGCTAGGAAGTCCAAGAGCAAGGCGCCAGCAGATGTGGTCTGCTGAGGACCCACTTCCTCATTGACAGCCATCTTCTCACTGTAATCTGACTTGGCAGAAGTGGCAAGGGAACTGGCTTGGGCCACTTTTCAAAGGGCACTAACTCTGTTCATGAGCCTTCATGACCTAATCACCTTCTAAAGGCTCCATCTTCTAAGAGCATCACATTCAGTTCAGTTCAGTTCAGTCGCTCAGTCATGTCTGACTCTTTGTGACCCCAAGGACTGCAGCACTCCAGTCTTCCCTGTCATCACCAACTCCCGGAGTTTATTCAAACTCATGTCCATCGAGTTGGCAATGCCATCCAGCCATCTCATCCTCTGTTGTCCCCTTCTCCTCCCGCCCTCAATCATTCCCGGCATCAGGGTCTTTTCAAATGAGTCAGCTCTTTGCATCAGGTGGCCAAAGTAATGGAGTTTCAGCTTCAGCATTAGTCCTTCCAATGAACACCCAGGACTGATCTCCTTTAGGATGGACTGGTTGGATCTCCTTGCAGTCCAAGAGACTCTCAAGAGTCTTCTCCAACACCACAGTTCAAAAGCATCAATTTTTCTGCAGTCAGTTTTCTTTATAGTCCAACTCTCACAAAAACCATAGCCTTGACTAGATGGACCTTTGTTGGCAAAGTAATGTCTCTGCTTTTTAATATGCTATCTAGGCTGGTCATAACTTTCTTTCCAAGGATTAAGCTTCTTTTAATTTCATGGCTGCAATCACCATCTGCAGTGATTTTGGAGCCCAAAAAATAAAGTCAGCCAC